AGAGTTTTGTAACTGCAAGAATTGAAAAGCACATGGCTATTAGCCAACATTAGACAGTAGTTTCAAAAAATACATCTGAATTCCAAGTTATCCATATCTGATTCTAGAAAAATGGCATAGGCAATCTGATTCAAACCTATGAACTCAGAAATCAGAGTTTCAATACAACAGTGTTAGACTTGGAATTAGAACCCAGGATCTTCAATTCTAGTTCACCAGAAACCTTCCCACAAAAGATCACCAACAAGGGTCTTGAAAATCCCCAAACAGGTCATTTAGAAAACAAGCAGAAGAAAAAGAGTATTGCTACACTCAGCAAAGTTGAGAACAGACTACATCTGGGTATGCTTCTCCTCCATAGGGCCACAGCCTTCCTGCAGGCCAGCTACAGGATGCAACACTAGGCTTTCTTTAACCTCTGCACTTTAGTTATGTGTTACATTGCAGCATGAATTATCAAAGCCACAAGTTGTCCTGGACAAATTGGTGTACCCTGGCACACTGCCTCCCAGTTTCGCATACTCCTGGCAGCATCCTTAAACTCTGCCTCCTATAGTTAGTGCAGTGACTCACACTTTCCATGTACTTTTTCCTGTCTGCAGACTAATCACTGAAAATGGCATTCTTCCATCCAGTCTTTCTTTTTAGCAATGTGTTCAGCAAAGCCTACTTTCCCTAAGTCAGGGATAGTGGCCTGTAACCCCTGCACTTGGGATTACAGCACTGAAGCAGGAGGCCTAATACAAGTTCAAGGGATTGAGAACTGTTTAAAATAAAAATTCTAAAACTTTGTTCCAAAAAAAACCAAAACCAAACAAACAAACAAAAACCCAACCATCTTGCCAGGCAGTGGTGGTGCACGCCTTTAATCCCAGCACTCAAGAGGCAGAGGCAGGCGGATCTCTATGAGTTTGAGGCCAGCTTGGTCTATAAGAGCTAGTTCCAGGACAGGTTCCAAAGCTAAAGAGAAACCCTGTCTCAAAAATACACCAAACTTCACCAAAATCTTGTACGCAGCAAAGGACATCAACAAAAGTGAGAGAGAAATCCACAGGATGGCAGAAAAATATTTGCTGCTCATATTTGCTACGGAATTAAAATCCTAACTCTCACCAAATGTGGTGGCACACACCATTAATCCTAGCACTTGGGAGGCAGAAGCAGATAGACCTTTGGGAGTTCAAGGTCAGCCTGGTCTGCACAGTGAGTTTCAGGACAGCCAGGGCTATGTAGAGAGACCCTGTCTCAGAAACACCAAACTAAAATCCTGACATAAAGGATAGCTTGAATTCTGAATATAAAGATCTCGTTTAAAAACTTAATTCAATCAAAAATAAATTTAAAATGGACAAACTCAAATGAATAGTCCTCAAGGAAGATACACAAGTACCATAAGTACATAAAGAGGTAAGTACTCAATATGTTTTCTCATTTAAAATTCAAAGAAATGGAACCCAGACCACAGGGAGTTACTACTCCATTGTCAGGACAAATAAAAGGAGCTCTCCAGAAAATATCAATTATCAGTAAGGGTGCAGAGACCTAGGAGCCATGTGTATTTCAGTGGGAACACAATGGGACAGCTGTCATAGAAGATAATATGACAGCTTTTCAAAATATTAACCATAGGATTAGCATGGGATCCAGCAAATCAATTTAGGGAGTCTTGACATATATTCACATCAATGTTCACAGCACCATTAGTAAATGAGGAAATGGCAGAACAGTATAATGGTAAAAAATGTGGAAATAACCTTAATGCCAACTGATCAATAAACGGATAAAATGTGATGTAAACAATAGAGCACTTATTCAACCTCAACAAGAAATAAAACTTGTTGCTAAAATGTGATGACATTATGTGAAATGTATTAAGTATGAAAGACAGAAAAGGATGACTACTGTATGATTTACTCTGGTAAGGTGCCTAGAAACCCCACAGTCAGAGACAGAAAGTACCAACAGTAGCCACCACCATGGACCAGGAAGAGAGCTGTCCTTCAACGGGTACAGCTTCCACCATGGACCAGGAAGAGAGCTGTCCTTCAACAGGTACAGCTTCCACCATGGACCAGGTAGAGAGCTGTCCTTCAACGGGTACAGCTTCCACCATGGACCAGGAAGAGAGCTGTCCTCCAATGGGTACAGCTTCAGTGTAGATGAGTATGCTCTGGAGATGGATGCTAGTGATGGGTGCACAGCAATGACAATGTGGCGCTGCCATGTTGTACCCTTGAAATGATTAACAAGCTCATCTTACAAGTTTGTCTCAAAAGAAATCCATAAATATTCAGCTGAAAATGCCATCAAACTCCCACTTAACATACTGCTCATTATGCTATTTGACTGGGTATAAAGTCAATCTTCTTACAGTTACAGACTTAAATCAGGAGCTTCTTTTTGGGTATCTTTATTAATCAACATTAAGAGCTTGACCCATGAAATGGATACTGCTATGCACCAGAGAACCAGCTTCCCTGGGAACCACATTCAACACCCATTCTCTCGGCCGCTCACTTTCCTGCTACTGCCCTTCCTTATATCTTGTTCTCATCATTGTACAACTGTCATCTTTTAACCAACGCATTTAAAACTTAAACTATACATGGAGTGATCGTATAAAAGACTCACATGCTACACTTGAGTTTCCTAGGATTTTAGTATGAATAAAAGGAATCGGAGGAGGGAGATACTGCCTTAGGATTCTAATAAACACATGTTTGTAGGTCTAGTATGCAAACCGAGAAAATTATAAGGTTATACACATTGTGAGTATGAGAAGAATGTCACAATCCCCATCTCATCATAAAAGCTCCCAAGTCACCTGAATGTCCCCAAATTCTAAAAGCCTGCTTGCTATGCTTGATACTATGCAGAAGACAGAAAGCTAAAGTCAGTACCACTAGCTTTTGGGAACAAATGACATGATGACAAATGGAAAAATTCCACATTTTAAAGTGATGAAATAAAAATGAACAATTAGAACAAGGAGATAAACTTCAAAGATGGAAGTAACCGGTTAGCTAAACATGGAAGAATCTAAGTATTCAAAACAGCACAAAGCAACAACATGGCACTGGTGTTTTCAAAGTAAACAGATACCATGACTGAGAAATGCAAATTGATGAATAACTAGGATACATTAGTATTTGAAGTCTCATATTTGAGGGGCTATGGTCATTCTTATCTTGCTTCAAGTTCTCAAACATAGCAGGCAATTTATAACGTTTTTGATTAAATGAAGGTTACTAAATAAGAACGTGGAACCACTGAGTGTACAGGAGCTCCACGGAAAGACACAAGCTTTCTTAGTCGTGGACTTTATTTATTTATTTATTTATTATGTATACAATATTCTGTCTGTGTGTATGCCTGCAGGCCAGAAAAGGGCACTAGACCTCATTACAGATGGTTGTGAGCCACCATGTGGTTGCTGGGAATTGAACTCAGGACCTTTGGAAGAGCAGGCAATGCTCTTAACCTCTGAGCCATCTCTCCAGCCCTTAGTCGTGGACTTGAAAGTTCTAGATGAGATAAAGTTAACACTTTAATGCTTAAGGCAGTGTGTATATAAGCATGAAGGAAACACGTCAACCC